TAAATGTAAAAATGATAAAAGGAGAAAAAAAGTTCACTGGATAAGCTTAACAGTAGATTGAAGGTAGAAGAAAAAGTCAATAAACTCGAAGAGAAACCCAATCTGAGACACAGAAAAAATAAGTTGAGAAAAAATGAACTCAGGGATCTGTATGATAACACACACATACACACACAAGAACAAGACACTGGTGGTGTGTGTCTAAAAATTTCAGCACTCAGGAAGTGAAGGCACAAGGATGGAAAGTTCCAGACCAGCCTGGGTATGTAGCATAACACTGTCTTCACAAAAAAATTGTATATCTAAAATACAAGAATGAAGTAAAATTAAAACATGATCAGATAAAAGAAACAAGGAATGCATCACCAAAAAAACTTAAATTATAGACAATGCATCAAAAAGTTTTCTAGTCTGAAATGACCCAAGCATTGTATGCACATATGAATAATAAATAAATTAAAAAATAATAAAAAGTTTTCCAGTCTGAAGGGAAATAACATGTAAACATTAAATATTTAGGAATGAATGAAGAACACTTTCACTTAATAACTTAAAATGTGTTGACGAACACATTTTATGACTCAAGAGATTGTGACCAGATCCTGCCAAGCATACCTACTTCTTTTATCACGTCACCTCCTCAAACATACTTGTACACACACAAACATGCAGAAATGGAGATATGCATACAAGGATCACTCTCCCAAGGTAAATGTAGCTTCCCTAGCAACTGCAAAAGCAAATGGTTCTTCCACACTGCCTAACTTTCTCAAAGAGCAGCACAGGGGATATAATATTGAGTTTTATATAGTCTAGGAAATTATTCAGTATTTGGTTCATGGACTAAATGAAAATTCCAACATTAAACATTCTGAAAGATCACTTGTCAGTTTCTGTAAATGCTTCAGTATGTAACTTTTTCAAGCAAGAAAACTCTGTTCTATGCTTGTTTTGGATCCCAACAACACATAATAAAGTGGTGGGCCCACAGTTATTACTTAGCTTTTACTTATGTTTTCAAATAGTTAAAATGTGTTGCATCCTTTAAGTTTATCCTTCTTCCCAATAGCTATAGAATGGTTTTATATTAAGTTATAAACTAAATGTGAAACTGTCCATTATTTCTACTAGCAATATAGAATGTTATTTTTGAGAATTCATCCATCAAGAGCTGACCCAAAGGCACACTTGGTGCTCACACCAGTAATCCCAATGGAAAGCCAAGATGGGGATGATCTCAGTTCAAGACCACCTTGGACAAAAAGCTAGCAAGACTCCATCTCATCAAACAAGCTGGGCATAGTAGTGCATGCCTAACCCCAGGCAAAAACCTAAGGCAATATCAGGAAAATACCTAAATCCAAAAACAGCTGGAAGCATGGCTCAGGTTGTACTTCACTTGCCTAGCAAGAACAAGGCCCTGAGTTCAAACCCCAGTACTGCCAAAAAAAAAAAAAAAGTGAACCTAAGGAGAAGAGAAACTGAAAAAGAGGCAATTTTGATGGAAAAAGTTTCATTTATTTCTAGTTCAGCCTGATCCAACCATTCTATTACTTCTACAGTCAAAATTTACTTACTAGGAGGAATTATGCTCAAAACTACAAGAATATGATTTACCCCTTTTTAATCAGGTTATTTGTGCAGGGGATGTTGTTGACTTATTGTTCTCTATATATTTTAGGTAGTAAATCATTATAGATAACAGATTTCTCTATAGAAGATATACAAATGGGTAATAAACACATGAAAAGATTAGAGAAATGCAAATCAAACTACAAAAAGATATCACCTCATACCCATAGTGCTGGCTATTGGAAGGAAGGTAGGAAGGAGGGATAACATAAGTGTTGGTGAGGTAGAGAAACTGGAACCTTTGTACACTGTTGGTGGGATTATAAAGGCCTAACATTACAGAAAAAGAATAAAATAAATAAAAAATAATTAGCATATAATCTAGCAACTCTACTTCTGAGTATATATCCAACAAAATTGAAAGCAGTAACTCAAAGACATTTACAAACCCATGTTCATTCCTGCACTGTTCACAACAGTCAAGAGGTAGAAGCAACCTAAATGTGCATGATAGATGAACGGACAGAGAAAATGTGACACATGCAAGCAATGGAATATTACTAGTCTTAGGAAAGAAGGAAATCCTGTTGCATGCTACAACATCAAAGAACCTTGAGTACATTATGCTAAATGAAATAAACCTATCACAAAGAAAAACACTATATGATTCAACTTGTATGAAATTCAAAGCAGTCATAAGAACAGAGAGTAGAATTGTGGTTGCCAGGTTCAGGAGAGTTACTGTTCAATGGAGTCTAATTTTTACAAAATGAAAATTTAGAGATGTGTTGCCTAACAAGGTGAATACAGTTAACAGAATACTTAAAATGGTTAAGATCGTAAATATGTTGTACATTTTTATCATAATTTCAGAAAGTACAAATAAAACATGATTTGGCTAAAACTATTTTAGAATAAATAGAATATAAACTATATCAAGAATAAAATTTTAATCAATTTTATTTCAAAAAAGCTGTATTTTTTAAAATTTTATTAATTATTGTATTCATGAAATTTTCAGTCCTCTTAAATGCATGACAATTCTCTTTTGTATTTACTGACCTGGGAAGTTTGTAGAACTTAGTAAGAATTTGTTTTCTTAGTAAGAATTTTTTTCTTCTCTTTTCACTTCTTTTCCTTTTCCTCTACTCAACTTGTTCCCAACTCAAAAAGGCATGCACTGAGTCAAGACTACAAAGAATGAGGTGTCTTGCTCCTCTGCTCCCTTTGTAGTTCTCCACAACATCCACACCAGTGTTAGGAACAAATAAGGAAAAAGTTGAAGCAAACTTCAATGCCAGCCCAAGATGGCAGTTTTACCAGAAAGTAAGGAAATATCTTAGCACTCAAGAGCTTCAAAACCAAATGAGAGGTCTGGGCAGAACAGTAGTACAGTGATGGTCTAACAGGTGTAAGGCCCTGGTTGATCCCCAGCACCACAAAAAAACAAAATAGAAAATAATTTAAATAATAAAATATCATTATGCTATCTTGCATTCACAATTAATGCCAAACTGTGACAAAACTGGTTTCAAGTTTTTTTATTAATTGTACAAGATAATGGGTTTCATTATAACTTTTTTTTAAAAGTACAGAGAAAAAGAGGTTTATTAGTACACTACCCATGTGCAGGAAGAGGGCAGAAAGTATTTCAACCCAATTTTGGGATACTTGCATGACCTTTAAGTTTAAAAAGAGGAAGAACTGGAGTGGGGGGAGGGCATTTTTATACATTCATAATGTGTACTTCAGTCATAATCGCCTTCCAAGTACCCTCTTCTCTCTCCCTCCTTCTATTGGTTCTCCCCCCCAAAAGAGCTCCCATCACATTTTTTTTAAATTTTTTTTAAATCTGCATATGAGACAAAATATGTGGTATTAGTCTTTCTGAGTCTGGCTCATTTCACTTAATGTGATGATCTCTAATTCCATCCATTTTCCTGCAAATGACATAATTTCCTTCTTTGTGGCCAAATATTCCATTTCATATATTTACATTTTCCTTCTCCATTCATATATTGATGGACACCTAGGCTGATTCCACAATTTGGCTATTGTGAATAGTGTGAAATAAGCATGAATATGCAGATATCTCAGTAGTATGCTGACTTTGATTCTTTGGGGTACATACCCAAGAGTGGTAAAACTAATAAATCTATTTTCAGTTTATTTTTATATGGTAGTTCTATTTTTAGTTTTGTGAGGATTTAAATGGTGGCTGCACTAATTTACATTCTCATGTACCGTGTATAGGGTTTCTTTTTCCCACATCTTCATCAACACTTGTTTTTTGCTTTCTTGATGATACACAACCATTCTGACTAGGGTAACATGGAATCTTATTGTAGTTTTGATTTGCATTTCCTTGATGTTGGACATTTTTTCATGTTTATCTATTGGCAATTTATACTTCTTTGACAATTGTCTCATCAATTCATTTGCCCACTTAGTGACTAGGTTATTTGTTGTTTTGGTATTTCATTTGAAGGTTTTTTAATAAATTCTGGATATTAATCCCTTACAGATAAACAGCTGGCAAAGATTTTCTCCTATTCTGTAGGCTCTCTCTTCACACTGGTAATTGTCTCCTTTAATGTGCAGAAGCTTTTTAATTTGATGCAGTCCCATTTGTCAATTCTTGCTCTTATTTCCTAAGCTATTAGAATCTTGTTCAGAAAGTCATGGCCTATGACTATACCTTGAAGTGTTTTCCTGTAGTGGCTTTAAAGTTTTAGGCCTTACATTAAGATCTTCAAATTGATTTTTATACACAGTGAGACATAGGGATCTAGTCTATGTGGAGATCCAGTTTTCCCAGCATCATTTGTTTGTGCTTATTTTGGGGTCCTCTGTTCTATCCCACTGGTCTACTATCTGTTTTTGTGTCAGCATCACACTGTTCTTGTTACTATAGCTCTACAGTGTAATTTGAAGTCAGGTATTGCAATAACTCCAACATTTTTCTTTTTGCTCAGGATTGCTTTGGCTATTTGGTGTCTGTTATGCTTCCATATAAATTTTAGGATTTTTTTCTATCTCTGTGAAGGAAGCCATTGGAATTTTGATGGCTATTGTATTAAATCTGTAGATTGTTTTCATTAACATTGTCATTTCTACAGTATTAATCCTGCCAATCCATTAACATGCAAGATCTTTCCATCTTCTAGTATCTTCTTCAATTTCTTTCTTCAGTGTTTTAGTTTTTATTGTTGAAGTCTTTCCTCCTTGATTAGATTTATCCTTAGATATTTTTTGAAGTGATTGTGAATATGAATGCTTTCCTGATTCTGTTCTCAAATTAAAGGTGGCAAAAATAAGACACAACACACACACACACACACACACACACACGGCAGAGAGAGAGGATACATTTTGTTTACTAACCAATAAAACAAAAAACAAGAAAATATATTTCATAAGTTAATAGCTTATTCCATTAGGAAATACCTCATTCTACAATCTCTTTGAGCTGATTTTCCATCAGTTTCATCATATTTTGTTTCTTCACTTCTATTTGGGTGGCAAATTCCATAATAAACAATAAGAAAAATAATTCCAAGCAGAAGAGTAAGAACTATAGTGACACTGATAGGTATAAAATAGTCTGAGCTAAAAATAGATAATGGATAAGCCCAGAACACAATCAGTATCCCCACTGTGGCCAGTACCCTTACAATATAATAGCAAGACATTGGACATTTGGTATTCTGTCCCTTAATGTTAAAAAATGTAAACACAAGAATAAATCCAACAACAATTCTATATAAGTATTCCATACTTCTGGAATTACAAAACTTAGTTTGATTTTTAAATGCCCATATTAAACCTACAAGCCAAAGAAATAACAATAGAAATAAAGCAATATTAACATTTACAAACAGTAGAAGTACAACACTCAATGTCCAAGATAACAATGTAAACACCTTGTAAATGAGGTATGTGACTCTGGGATAGACTCCCTTAAGGAGATTTTTATCAGGCAAGGATTTTCTTAAAGCTATTTGAAAATCAACAGTTGACCCAGAAATAGCACAGCAAGAAACCATGATGGCCGCATCTACAAAACAAACAATTTTAAAGACATTGTTAGAAGAATAGTAATAGCAATGTTAAATTACTATATACACACATACTTTGTCTATATACATACACTCACAAATATGCATCAGGCACTTTAATAATCTCATCTAATTCGTGGAGGTATATCATAACATTCCTACATTACATATGAAGAAACTGAGGTTTTGAATATATTACTTTGACCCTAGTTACATGGAAAGTTGCAGAATTGAGACTTGAACCTAAATCTGCCTGATTCCAAAGTTGGTGTACCAAGCCACTATATTAGACTGATATTAAATGATTTTTAATAAGTTCATTTGACAAATTTTGTTGAACAACTAATATACTGAAAACTGCCTATTCTGGTTGTTAAGAAACTACCGTTGTAATTCCAGGTTTTCTAGACATTTTGGCTTTGATCTTGAGCATACACCTAATTCACTTAGAGATGGTATCAGAGGTGTGGGGTAGTTACAAGATTTAACATAAAGTATTATGAGCTTAATTTTTCATATGCTACAGATCATGAATCAAATGACAAATACCAAAAACTTACAAAGTTCTACAGGTTTGACATTTTTACTCCACCTTTTCCCAACAAGTAAGAATAAGTTCATTACTATTTTGGAAAGCAACTATCATTATTAGCCCCACGATCAATGCAGGGGACTTTCATAAAAGTGAAAGTAAAGATATTAGAAAATTGAAATTGAATAGTTTAGAGAATAAATGACCAAAGTGCTGGCCATTTTCATTAAGCCTCATTGGAAGTCTATACTTAATGATAGAAAGGCACACTTCCCATAATTTATCTCTTGATGAGGATGATAAAACAGGAAAGATAAATAAATGCCTTTGGTTTTCACATATGACATTACAGATCTCACTAGTTAGGCTTATTTGAATTAAAACATCATTTACCTCTAAATTGTCATATGATGTATTTTTATACTTGGTTTTCATTTCTACCAAATTAACACCTATACATATTTTATAAAAGGCAAAAAGTTCTATATGCCTTAAAACAGAAGTACTTTATCCTGTCCCTCCTCACCACTCAGTTGTAACCCCCAGAAGTCACTATCAACTCTTACAGCTTTTCCTCTGACATGTATTTTCACATTGCTACATCAAACACATACTAATATCTATTTACTAATATCTATTTATCTAGATACTGTTCATTGATTTCCTGTTTGGAAAGAGGAAAATTTAGCACTTATACTCGTATACACATGGCCTCCTTCCATTTTCCCCTCCCTCCAACTGCCCAAAAGAATAACATTACAATATTTGATAAAATCAATAGTCAGTGTTTACTTCATTATAACTAAATAAGGACATGCAGTTTTGGGTTGGTTTGCGTTGGATTTCAGGTTTTTTAACTCAGTAATTCCTATGAATTATACTAATTCAAGGAATACTGATTGTATTTCCTTTCTTTTAGAATATTTCAATTTTCATGTAGTTAGCAATTGCCTAGTTTCCTTACTTGCTTAGTGTTTCATGATCCTATCACTAGTTCTTAGCAAATTCTTCAAAGTAATTACATCCACCCACATATTTTTTAGAATATTATCCTTCTGCTCTAAGGTGGTTTCTCTCATTTCCTTCTTGTGTTCCCAGAACTTTCCTTTACCTCTCCTCTCTTCTATGTTGAGTCCTCATATCTTCTTTCTTGCTTTATTCTCATATTTGATTAATCATTCTCCAAGACCTCCTGAGAAAAGTTGCACAGAGGCTAAATTTTTTTAACCATGTATGCCTCAAAAAGTCTGAGCCAGGCATGGTGGTATATACCTATAATCCCAGCATTTTGGAACCAGAGGCAGGAGAATCTCTAGTTTTAGACCAGCCTGGATTACATAGTGAGTTCCAGGCCAGCCCAGGTTATATACAGCGAGGCAAAAAAAAAAAAAGAGGAGGAGGAGGATGGGGAAGGGAAGGAAAGAAAGGAAGGGGAAGGAGAAGAGGAATGGGAAGGGGAAGGAGGGGAAGGGAGGGAAGGAAAGGAAAGGGAAGGGGAAGGGGAAAGAGAAGGGAGTGGAAGAAGAAGGAGGGGAAGAAGGAGAAAGGAGAAGGGAAAGGGAAGAAGGAGGGGAAAGGGAAAGAGAGGAGGAGAAGAAAGAGAAGAAGGCAAAGAAAAGAAAAGAAAAGGGCAGGAGGCAGAGATTATGAGCATCAGGGCTCAGTGCTGGCCCCAAGCAAAAAAATAATTAAAATAAATAAAGCAAGAAAGGATATAGTTCAAGTGCATCCTTGACTAGTAAGTGTGAGGTCCTGAGTTCAAACCCCAGAAATATCAAAAAAAAAAGCCTTAATTCTAGTCTCATATTTGATGAATAATTTTACTAAAAATAGAACTAAAGTCAAAATGTTTCCACTGAAACTTTGAAGCTATTGCTCTATTATGTTCTGACTTATGGTTAAGTATTTCTATACCATTCATTTCCCCTATCTTTAGTAAGTGATCTTTTTTTCTCTCAAATCTTCTAGAATTTTATCTTTATCTTTACATTTCTGAAACGATATAGTAATATTCTTGGTATAAGTCATTTTATTCACTATTCCAATCTAATAACCCTCATCTTTCAGTGATATGCTCTAATTTTATCCTTTGATGTTTTCCCTTGAAATCACAATAAGCATATTAAATATATCAAAGCTTTAAAATTAATCAACATTGTTACCTAAGAGGTAGATTTATCATGAACATAGTGACACCTAAATTTCAAGGACCCTCACTTGCCCAATCTCTTTCAAATCTGGCAAAGTCTAGCAAAGTTTACCTCCTGGCATATTTTTATAAAATCTGCAAAACCAGACATACTAATTTCAGTTGATTAGATTTGCTGTGTTCTACTCCTACTCACCCTTTCTCACACTTTGCTTTGGTATACTGCAGTGGCTATAGCATTTTTGGGGACTGAGTTGAGGTTACATTTAGGATATGTGTAGGGCCATGTTTAGAAGGTTTGCTTGAGTTAATTAAGACTAGTAAGTGGATTCTCAGGCAGATTTCCTGATCTTAATATCTCACTATGCAATCAACCCTCTATATCCACTGGTTCCACATCTGTGCATCCAACCAACCACGAATTGAAAATATTTGAAAAAAACACTGCAACCCAGGATAGTTGTGCACACCTCAGCACCTCTGAGGCTAATGCAGTAGGTTCTCAAGTTCAAGGTCAGCCTGGGCTACCTAGTGAGATCCTGTCTCCAGAAAGAAAAGGACGGGAGGGTGGGAGGGAGAAAAGGAAGGAAAGAAGGAAGGAAGGAAGGAAAGAAGGAAGGAAGGGAATTGCATTTATACTGAACAAGTATAGACTTTTCTTGTCATTATTTCTATGAAACACAGTATAGCAACTATATACATAGTAGTTACATTATATACTAAATATACTATTAGTATATAAATTATCTAAAGATGAGGATGTGTATAAGTTATAGGTAAATATTAAGCTATTTTATATAGCAGACATGAGCATCTATGGATTTTGGTACCCATGGGGGTCCTTGAACTAATCCTACACAGATATCAGGGGATGACTATATTGCCTTTCATGTAATTATGCCACCAATAGGCCTTTGATTTCTAATATTAAGGCACAGTGATCTAAGTTCATCCAGTTAATATTGCTAGTTTGACATTATTGCTCATTTCCTGTTTACCTACTTGCCTCTAAAGCATTTATTTCTAATCATATTGCTGCCTTGATCTGTACATTACACTATGTTCAAAATGAAAGCCTGTTTTACCAAGCCATACCTTTGCTTATGAATTTCCCTTAGCCTGAAATAACCTAGCCCAATCATATTAAACAAAATCATCTTTCTTTCTGTCTTAACACTAAACATTGACACCAGTAAATATAAAACTCCCAATATTCCACTAAGTAAAGTATCAACAAGGTATTTACCATCTTTAAGATGTCAACTCAGTGTTTAAAATTAGTTACTTCATCTTAAAGAATTATGAAATGCCTTAAAATCTTACAACATTTATTGAAAAAAGTTGGTAGAGGTTTTCTAATGTTTCATAACAAACAAAAAAGTGTATATGATTACCAATGAGTTATAAAGCTGAAAAAAACTTTTCCATACTAAAAATAATTTGAAAAATAAATTTTAATTAACTATGCTAAAGAATGAATTATTTTCCTATTCTTATATGTAAATTACAAAGTCATTACCAAATCTAGAGCCAATTAGTGTTTGAAGCCAAAAAAATTTAGTGAAAAGAATATTAAAATACCACTTTTCTTAATTTTGTGAAATGTGTGAAATGTGTGGTATTTACCAGCTTTCTTTTCCTTCTTTCCTTCCTTTCTCTCCCTCTCTCTCTCTCTCTCTCTTTCTTTCTCCCTCCCTTTTTCTCTCTCTCCCTCTCCCTCTCTCTTGAGACAGGGTCTCATTATGTAGCATGGCCTAGCCTTGAACTCTAGATCCTCCTGCCTCAACCTTCCAACTGCTAAGATTACAGCATGTACTACCACACCCAGCGTTGTATAAGCTTTCTTATATCTGTAATTTACAATAATTTATTTTATTTTAAATAAATATTTACTTGCATGTCTTTATAGTATCTTCATGAATTGTGTACCATCAAAACTCATACATTGAAATCTTAACCTACAATTTAACTATATTTGGAGATAAGGCCTTTAAGGAGGTAACTAAGATTAAATGAGGTCTTAATGGTGGAGGCCTAATCTGATGGAACTGATACTTCCTAAGAAGAGGATGAAATACTAGACATTGAGGCCTCCCTCTCCTCTTCCCTCCTGTCTCCCTCTTCCCTCCTTGTCTCCCTCATTCTGCATGCACAGAGGAAAGACCATTCTGTATGCAGTAAAAGGGCACCAGTCTGCAGCCCAAGGAGAGTATGTGTCCTCATGAGAAACCAGCCCTTCTGGCACCTTGATGTGAGACTTCCAGGCTCCATACTGTGAGAAAACAAATTTTTGTTGTTAGATACCTAGTCTGTGGTATTCTGTTATAGCCACTCAAGAAGATTAACACAATCATCTAATTTTGTTTCCACAATATTGTATTATTTTTCTTAAATAGATCTCTCTAAATGTTTTTGTTTTATACTTAAAAAAAAAACTAGATCTACCTTTGCTTTACCTTTTCCTGGACCATATAGGAAATTTTAAAGTCTTTAACTTCATTTAACCTCCACCTGACTTACATGTTCTTTTTGTTCTATAGTTTTATTCTATCTTTTGCTTAAACATGTAGTATTATTTTATTATATACTAAAAGCTTATTTAGCCATATCCAGAAGTTTACCACTTTCTTTGCTTTTTATTCCTTCTTGCACCTCAGAACACTTCTGTTCTGTGTAATGTACATTCTTTGGAATTTCCTTTAATAATGAAATGTTGGGGTAGGGATTTCTGCTTGCTGTGCTTATGAGATGATGGGCTTAGTGAATGTGTGGGTAGGTATCCCTAATCAGTCCTGAAATTGTTCCAGCCATTAATTTTTCAAATGCTGCCTCTGCTCCATTCTTCCTCTTCTTTCCTTTGAGATCTGCTCACCTTATGTTGCATGCCTTTTAATATCTGTTTCACATTCTCCATTTTCTTTGTATAAACTACAATCTGGATAATTTGTTCTGAATCAGCACTGACTCACTTATTGTCTATTTAGTTATGTCTAATCTGCTGAGTTTTTATTATTCAATTCTTGGGTTTTTTAAATTACCCTAAGGCCTACTTATTTCTTTTCAAATATAAACTCATTTTTATAGTTTCCTGCTCCAAATTTTCACATTCATCATTTACTTCTTAAAACATAATAGGATACTTGTTTCATACTTTCCATTTGGTAATATATAAAATCTTAATTTTCTATTTCTGTTGGTTTATAGTCATGATAATTTACTTCTTTTGGTGCTATAAACTATTTGAACAATTCATTCTCCTCAGAAAATTATTTGAGACAGAAGAGAAGGCGAATTCTTCCAGAGAGAATTTACTGTTTCTCTCAACACCTAATAGCACTATTAGTCTAGGAACACTTTAAACTGCATTCACAGCTTGCTTTTGTTTCTTGGAGGGGGGAGAACGTTATTTCTTTTTTTTTTTTTAGATTAGCCAACAAGATGTGAATTTTGGTTTTTAATGTTATTTTTGTAACTTTTCAAACACATTTTGCCCTCTCTAGTCAGCCTCCAAGTAATATTCCTTACATTATCTTAGAAGTAGAAAGTGAGGTAAGCAACTTTACCTTACTCTGAGGAAAGTTTTTGGAGTCCCAGTTTCATAGATTAGGCTTACTACTAGAGAGACACTCCTCCTTGTGAGGAACTGATTTTTTGTTTTCTGTCTTCTCTGAAAAGTCCTCAAAACTGATGAGATTCAGCAAAAACCCTCAGATTATAAAGGCCTTCACAGTCCTACTTAACCATGGAGCATGGTTTTGTCCTGTTACATCAGATATTTTATATTTTATGGAATTTTTTAAAATACTTATACAATATTATTAGATACTTTCAGTGAAGTGTTGACTGGAGTGTTTAGTCCTTCAGTGGAAGAGTTGATTCAAACAACCTAACTTTTCCAACTGCGTTCCATCTTCTAAACATCTACTGGCACTTCTAATCTGCTATTCTACTGAGCAATCTCTTGTCCTATGTATTTATATTGGTTTTACTCTTTTATTATGATTTCAGAAGGAGCAGAGATAAAAGAATATGTTCAGTCTTCGCAACCTGATTTTTTTACATTTTGAGTAATTTTTATGCTAGCCAAACAACACATACTTACTGAATAAATGCTGGAAATCCAGAAAAGCACAAAGATAAAAAAAATCATTCCAAATCCCACTTCATATTCTTAAAAGTATGAAGATGGAAAACTTCATAAACTGCTCTTTGCCTAAATCTTATTTTATAATTGCTTTTGTATGCCATTAAAACTTCTTTGTGAGAACTCTTTCTACATAATGCTCCATTGTACCATAATTTATTGACCAGTTTCTCTGTCTTTAGATAATTGGATTATTTTTCACTTTTTGCTGTTTTAACTAACCTCAAATTGTTACTTTAATAAGGATAAGGACAGAACCAGAACATAAATATGCAAAAAATTATTCATTGCAGCATTTAAAGGTAAAGTAATAAAAACAAACTAAACTAACATAGAGGGCTTGTTAAATAAATTATAGTACATCTGTAATTCACAATACTATGCAGATAATAAAAATGAATGAGGAAGTTCTTTCTGTACTGATATGTATAGATCTTCAAGATATATTATTGAACACAGAATGTAAAGATGCTTTTTATCTTATGTTACCATTTGTGTTAAGAAAAAAGATATATGCTTTTCAAAAAGTTCTCTAAAAGGATTATCAAATGACTGATAGCAGTAGTTTCCTTTCTGGGCAGACAAAAGGAACAGGATGAAGAGAAATGGAGATAATACATTTTTATATACGTTCTGATATTGAGTCATGTTACTGTACTTCCTTTTCAAAAAAAAATTCTTTTTTTGTAAAGGATTAAAAAGTCTAGTCAGCCTACATGCCTGTAATCCTAGCTACTCAGGAGTCAGAGATCAGAAGGACCACAGTTCGAAGCCAGTCCTGGTCAAATAGTTCGTGAGATTCTATCCTGAAAAAAAAAAAATCACACACACACAAAAAAAAAGGCTGGTGGAAAGGCTCAAGCAGTAAGAATGCCTGCCTAGCAAGTGTGAGGCCCTGAATTCAAGCCCCAATGCTGCCAAAAAAAAAAAAAAAGAGCTCTAAAACATGCCTGAGAGTTAAACAGTTGGCATAAGATCCCAGTGGTAATCTGTGTAACACAAGGTGTTAAAGACTTACACTGAAAGAAATTTGCTTCACCATGCTTCAGGAAGATGTAGAGCTGAAGAACAAGTTGAGGGCAGCCTTCCAGATAGGTCTCAAATAGCCTGAGCATGCTCAGATCAGTCACTCTGTCTATAATTTCTTTATGTGTATCAATTTGCTCTTCCATGAAGTTATTAGTGTTGCTGCTATATTTAAAAGCCACATGGTAACCCTTTTTCAAGGCAAACCAATACCTGTAAAATAAACATGAACATGTATCTTCAGTCATATATTTTTATAAATTTAAGTTTATTTTAAATGACACATAAAAACATAAAAATTATGCACATGTATGTGGGACCATGGATCTTTCGATATATCTATATATTGTGTAAGGTTTACATCATCTTAGACATGTCTCTCATTTCGAATGTTTCCTTTCCTCTAGCTTTTTAAAGTAGTATGCTATTGTTATCTATGGTCATTCTCCTATGTAATAGCATACCAGACCATCTTACTCTTCTCTTATTGTAATTTATACACATTGATCAACCTCCCCCCATTCTCTGCAGTCTTATGTATTTTATAACACATATGTTAACATATATAACTTTGAAAAAAGCAACATGTGTTTAAGTACAGAATTTTTCCACAAACGTTGTCTAGTACAGATTTCTGTGAACATTTCACGTGGATTTTATTGAGATTCAGGCTTAAAAATTTGTATGTTTGATGATAAAAGAGAGAGCACACAAGGGAGGGGTGAGGATAGGTAAGACACCTAAAAAATTAGCTAGCATTTGTTGCCCTTAACGCAGAGAAACTAAAGCAGATACCTTAAAAGCAACTGAGGCCAATAGGAAAAGGGGAACAGGTACTAAAGAAAAGGTTAGATCAAAAAGAATTAACCTAGAAGGTAACACCCACGCACAGGAAATCAATGTGAGTCAATGCCCTGTATAGCTACCCTTATCTCAACTAGCAAAAACCCTTGTCCCTTCCTGTTAGTGCTTATACTCTCTCTACAACAAAATTAGAAATAAGGACAAAATAGTTTCTGCTGGGTATTGGGGGGGGAGAGGGAGGGGAAGGAGTGAGTGGTAAGGGAGGGGGTGGGGGCAGGGGGGAGAAATGAACCAAGCCTTGTATGCACATATGAATAATAAAAGAAAAAGAAAAAAAAATTGTATGTTTGATATATCATTTACATGGTAGGTCTGCTAAATGTATATAATAGTACTACATCTTTTTGATAATTATGTGAGGTAATTAGGTGTCATTACCATTTCACAAATGGAAAAACTCAGGTTGAGAAAGACAGAGTGATTTGCTGAAAGTTTTTCAGAGAGTAAAAGGCAACCCTTGGGTCCAAACCCAGATCTTATGATTCCTAGTCTTAACCACTGCTTTCCAAAACACGAAATGCAATTTTACTTCATGCAATTTATCTTAACTACAACGCAGATATATTCTCCTATGAGTATGTGAAGGTTGAAGGTAAGATTGCATCTTCTTTCAATTTAATTTAGCAAACAATTACTCAGTATTTACAAGGTGCTAGGCTGTTTGACCATTACCATACTAGGAAACATACAAAATGTCAAAGACTCTCAAGACAATACAGCTCAGGCATTACCTCCGCAAGAATTTTTAAAAGAACATAAGCTATCATCAGACAGGTAAAATTAGTAACAAAAAGTTGTAGCAGTTATTTAAAAGAAATCTGAGGCTAACAGTAAGGCAATCAAGACTCTACCCCAAAACTTATCAAAACGCCTTATCTACACTCAGTTTTCTCATATATAAAACATAGGCATGATGAATATTCTACTTCAACCTGCTCCTTCTGCCAGATTTTCCCACTTCAGTGAATGGTATTAACATTCACCATGTTGCTCAGACAAAATTGTAGAAATTTCTCATACCCTTTAAAAATTCCTTAGTAAATTTTCTTGGTTCTTGGTTCTAACATCAAATATATCTACATTCTACATGTCTCTTACCACTTCCAATGCTATCCTATTTAAGGAGCCAATGTCTGGCCTGGATTATTTCAAAAGGCTCATAATTAATCTTTTTGATTCTACTCTTTCTCTCCATATAACCTATTCTCTGCACACATTTTATTTTTTTTATCCAGTTTGCATACTGACTTTATTTTTTTGTTGTTGTTCATTTATTCACATGTGCATACATTTTTGAGTCATTTCTCCACCCTGCCCCCCACCTCACTCTTCCCCCCTCCCCCCCTCAGTTACAGGCAGGTCCCGTTCTGCCCTTATCACTGAATTTGTTGAAGAAAAGACATATGCATAATAAGAAAGACAAAGCATTTTTGCTAGTTGAGTTAAGATAGCTATACAGAAAGATTCCTACTCTTGCTTTCGTGTACCCATGTGTTACGACCCATGTTGATTCATCTCTAACTGATCTTTACGTTGGTTCCTGATCCCCTGCTCATGATAACCTGTCATTTTAAGGTTTCTGTATTAGTTCCTCTGGAGTGGGGACATCAAACGCTTTCATGTTTTGGGTTTTCTACCTATTCCTATAGTTCCCATATGTGCTCTCCCCTTTTCTTGTGATCCAAGTCCAACCACATTGCTACATTCACCCTAGATCTAAAGTCCACATGTGAGGGAGAACATACGATTTTTAGTCTTCTGAGCTTGACTGACCTCGCTCAGAATCATGTTCTCCAGTTCCATCCATTTACCTGCAAATGATAAGATTTCATTTTTCTTCATGGCTGAGTAAAATTCCATTGTGTACAAGTACCACATTTTCTTGATCCATTCATCAGTAGTGGGGCATCTTGGTTGTTTCCATAACTTGGCTATTGTGAATAGTGCACACATTTTAAATATGATTCATACGTCATTCCTTTGGTCAAAATGTTCCAATTATTTCCATAACACTTAGAATAAAACCCAAAATCCTTATCATGTCTTTCACACAACCTGCTTCTCACACACACTACAACCTACTACATTTCCATCTCATTGGTCCGAATGTGGTTTCTTGCTGTTTTTCCCAACTTAAAGGTCTTTGTCTTCGCTATAACTCTTTTAAACTCCAGAAATTTTAAAAGTTAGCCCATTAACTTCATTCAGGTCTCTACTCAATTGTCACTTCTTCACAGAAGCCTCCTAGAACACATCATCTAAAGCAGTACTCTCCATCATATTCTACTCCTTTACTCTTATTTTTCTTGATAATATTTATAACACATTATTTATTTTGGTTAATTATCTTCATTTTCTGACAAGAATGTAATATACAAGAAAGGAGGGACTTTGTTTTGTTCACTGCCATAAATTATGCAAGTAGAATAGTACCTGGCACATAGTAGATGCTCAAAAAATTACTGAATTAATAAAGAAAAGCTCATAACATTTATCCCATACAAAGATAGTAAATACGAAAGGACTTCACAAAGTTGAGAGTAAAACATAAAAACCAGATATTCCTATTGTAAATAAAATGTGTATATATATGGATACACCAAGATTCTATATCTGGCAAAGTGTATGCTTTTCCCATTACAGTTTTAGAATAGAATGACTTATTATATTTAACTTGGGCTACATCTCAGGTATAGAAGATTGTCTACAACAATGATGGCATGGTCACTATCCTTAATGCACGTGCAACCTAATGGAAGGGTCAAGCTTATGTACTACTGGTTGCAATACAAGGCAAATGAAATAAATACACATTATAAACATAAATACTATGCTGTGAAAATGATTTAATACTGACTAGGAACTATCAACAATATTTATAAGGGAAAATATGTTTGTCTCCTTTGAATATCTAGCACAACAAAGAGTATGTAGTTCCTGTTATTGAAGTGGTCCATAAATCAACAGGATAGATACTACTTTTAAAAACTTGAAAATTTCACAAGTATTAACAGGTACATACACAAAACATACATAGTACAGGCAGCAGAGGCTGTGGCACAATAGTTAAACGTACAGACTCAGCCAAGCATGATGGCACTCGCCTGTACTCTTAGATAGAAGATGAAGAAGATAGAGATAGAAGAGGATTACATGAGCCCAGAAACTCAAGACCAACCTGGATAATACAGTGAGACCCCATATCAAAAAAAGAGTACAGATACTAATAATGCCAGAATTTCTGGGTTCAAATCCTGGCTCCACCACTTCATCTCTCTGTGCTTTACTTTCCTCATCTTGATAGCAGAACATCATTGTGTTAGCTATTAAATGAGTTAATATATCTAAAATGCTTACTTAAAATATAACTGATTACTTCCAGTACATAACAAAGAGTGGTATGGCTAAATCATTAGTTCTGTTTTCAGCTTTCTGAGGAACCTCCATTCTGATTTCCACAGTGGCTGCAGTAATTCACATTCCCACCAAGAGTGCATAAGGGCTTCTTTTCCCCACATCCTCAGAAGCATTTGTTAGATTACATTTTCTTTTTTATTAATTTATTGCACAAAATAATGGGCTTAATTATAACATTTCTACACATGTATATGATGTACCTTGATTTTATTCATCCTCCCTCCCCTTTCCTTCACCCATTCTTTCCTTCCTCCTGGTCCCTCTCCCTAAATAGTCCTCCCTTTAGATTTATGTCTTTGTGTTGTTCCTGCTGTTCTTTTTATACTTATGTTCTAGATTCTGTATATGAGAGAAAACATTCAGTATTTGTCTTTCTAAGTCTGGACTACTTCATTTAACATGATGTTCTCTAGTTCCATCCACTTTCCTGCAAATGACATAATTTCATTCTTCTTTATTTCATTCTTGATAAAGATGCCAAAAGATAGCCTTTTTAACAAATGGTGCTGTGAATACTTGCTATCCACATGTAGAAGGTCCCTGTCTCTCACCTTGTACAAAAATAAGTTAAAAATGGATCAAAGACCTTAATACAAGATCTGGAACTTTTCTCATAGCAGAGAAAACTATGGAAATCACTTCCACATATAGACAAAGGCAATTATTTCCTGAACAGGATACGAATACCTTAAGAATAAGGGCAAGAATTGACAAGTGGCATTGCAACAAATTTAAAAGCTTCTGCACATCAAAAGAAATAATTTTGGAGTGATGAGATAGCCTACAGAATGAGAGAAAATCTTTGCAAACTATTCATCCAACAAAGGATTAATATCCAGAGTATATAGAGTTCAGAAAAATAAATACCAAAATATATAGCCCAATTAAGAAAGGAGCAAATTAATTTAACAGTTTTCAAAAGAAGTCATGCA